AGCACTCGCTTGTGCTCTCCTCTTCCTTAGTGTTTTAATTGTCTCCTCCCTCTGTATCTCCCTCTGCACTGAATGATTTCAATGGATGCTCCCTGATTCTGTACATCCCCTCCCTCTTTAGGAAAACATATTTTTCCTATTAAGCCAACAGGACAGTGGCATTAAAACAGTAGAAAAACAGAGAGGCAGATAATAAATCTGTGGGTTATATGATGGCCCCCCTGCAGAAGTCCTGGTTTTATATCTCAGGCAAGCAAGGCAGCTGAGCTGGATGAAAACAGTGCCTGCTGAGTCAAAGCCTCAGTCCTGCAAGAGCCCAGCCAGTGAGGGAAGGAGAGGTCCAAAGCAGCAGAAAGAGAAGACTTTTCTTCCCTGCAGCCTCCAGACAGATCCTGTGGGCCTCTGTTTCTCTTCTAGGTGTTATATCTTCTAGGTGTTATATTTTACATGAAGCCTACAATGATGTAATAAAACCTTTATCATTTCACAGATGAAAAATTAGGACACATGTGGCTACGGGACACTAGAATGTGGCCAAGATGGTAAAAGTTGCTAATGAGGAAGAACACACAAGACTGAAGAGGCTGCAGCAGTCTTTTTTGCCTGAGCTTCTTGGGGAGGGCTAGATTCTGAACACTTTCCTCAGTACAAACTACTTTTTCACTTTTAACTCAGCAGCAGCTGAAACAAGCCAAAAACAAAGAGGAAAACTGGGAGGGAGAAAGTGTGTAACTGGGACATTTAAAACCCACTGAAATAGTGAGAAGACAGACAACTGTCCCTGTCAAATCAGGATTATCCCTGGCAAATTGGGATAATGGGAGGGTTACTCTAACTACTAGGGTAAAAAATGTACTAAAAGCCTTTGCAGACTGCCAGAAATAGTGCACATTAAATTGAGGCACTGCCCTGGCTCAGTGCTAGGGAGTCATGGGAATTGTATTTTTTTCTGGGACATTGAGCCTTCTCTGTCAGAGAGCTCTGATGCCACAATAAATTACAGTTCCCATGATTCCCTAGCACTGAGACAGGGCAGTGCCTCAATTTAATGTGCACTATTTCTGGCAGTCTGCAAAGGCCCTAAGTTTTCCATCTGCTGTAAGATAACCAAACTAATGTTTCAAAAGTCAAGTGGAGAAATCAGGTCATAAAGTAACTCCAGCATAAAACTAAGAGGAAAACAACAGACAATGCCTATCAAACTGCTGAAGCTCATTCATGAAATGTTAGACTTATATAACTAATTTCAAACCCTTTTTAGCTCAGAGCTGAAACAGACCATCTGCAAAACACTGCAAAGGTTTCAGATCAATCTCAGCTGTTTTCTGAATGCTATAGAACTACTCTTGTCACTAATTTATGGTTCTAATGGTGGAATGTAATTCATCCAACCCAGACTTAATATAAGGCCACTTCTACAGCCCTGTGGTTTCATCCCCAAGTCCCTGTTAAAACCCTGGCAGCTACATTTAGTACACAGTAAAGTACCTAGGTTATATTAAAGGCATCACTATAGCCTGAAACAGATATATCTCGAGCATCCATCCTTTCCTCTTATACTATATACTACGTGCTGAACCTGGCTTTCCACAGTTTTAAGGAGTCTGCTGTACAGACCTTGGAACAGCTCAGCTACATGATTCCAAGCTTAGAATAGTTCCTTATAGTTCCTTAACAGGTGGCTTTGCCAATGGCAATATATCAAGATTTACTATCATAGAATGTAAACAAGCCCTGACTCATGCATTTCTGATCAGCTCCAGCTTCCTTGAGTCACTTCAAGCAGCTGGACTCCTGCCACATTATAAAAGCCACTCAAATTTACAGCAGTCCACAATTCAGAATCAGTCTCAGGAGTTTATCACATGAGGCTAAAAAAGCAGAATTTTTACACATGATAAAAGCATCTTTGGCTGGTATCATGTCTGTCTTGCTCCTGCCTTGCATTCCATTTGTTACTGTTGTGCACTTTTTCATTGGGGGGCAAAACCCATCAATAGGCTCTGAATCTTGCTAGTATTCCATTACTATGGAATAGATGCTATTCCATGGCATGGTGATTGTTGTCCCCTACCTTCCTCCAGAGGTGTGGGGCTGCTACATTTTGGGAGGGAAGAGGAGTGATCACAACCACTAACATATTCCCAAAGGCAGCTGCTGTATGCACATTCACACAGCAGCTGGCTTCAGGAGGTGGTTGGCTCAGTGGTGATCAGTCATTCCCCCTTCCTCCCAGAAGGTGGTTTTTGGCATTGCAGAAAACAGATCATGCAACCATGAATTGGGGAAAACGTGTGATAAGAAATGATGCTAAGCCATTATGCCTCCATTTTTGAACTAGCACAATTGTGGTTGGACAGCAGGTTGGTTTGACAAAGTCCTCAGTGGCATGCAGTACTTTTGGCACAGCATTTCAAGGACTTTTCTCCACACATACAAAAACATGCTTCCAGTATTGCAAACAGAGACCTTTATTTATTCTACTTTACCACAGAAGAAACTTACAGAAAATAAGAATATGCCTCTCAGCAATATACATGTGAGAAAACATCAAGAAGGGTGATGTGACTTGGGCACTATCACACTACAAAATGATAATGCTATGATTCCATTTTAACTGCTGTGGTTCCATCTGATTGAATCCTGGGATTTGCAGTTTAGAGAATAGTATTTAGAACTTTTAGCCAGTGATCTGGCTAACTTTTAGCTAGTTCTTCACCAAACGATACTCCTCCAAATAGGAGGCTGCCACAGCAGTTAAAGTGGCAATCAGTGCTCTAACTGTGTGGTGTAAAGGGGCCCTAGATTCAAATCCCCACGAGGCTTACCAGGTGACCTATTTGACTAGAAATGGGGAAAGAGAATAAGTATGGTGTCTTCAGGTCCTCAGAAAAAAAGAGGATATAAATGGAACAAAAATATTGTTGGATGGAGACATCTTAACACTAATGTCCAAAATGCATTGTGCATCTCCCCCCTTTTCTCAGCAGATACCCCAAATGGTTTATTATTATTATGGGAAGAAAAAAGATAGGAGAGGGTGATGAAAAAATACATACCAGGAGTTAACTTCAAATGGGAGATGCCATAATTCGGACGTTCAAAAGAATTCAGTGTACAGCATGATTGCTTAGGCAAGCATTTGTCGGGCAGCACTTTCAGTCTGGCAAAGACCATGTTCCTCTGCTGAGATGGCTGAAGAACCTATAGGCCACAGTGTTATCATACCAGGATTTTGGGACAAAACAAGTCCAGGTATCCTTTTAGCAGAATGAGTAAGAGGGCTGCCAAATACTCTATATCACAAGCATGAAATACAGTGGGTCCTTGGTATCTGCTGGGGTATGGTTCCAGGACTCCTTGTGCATTCCAAAATCTCTGGATGATTAAATCCCATTAAATACAATGCTGTAGTAAAATTGTGTCCTTTATATAAAATGGCAAAACCAAGGTTTGCTTTTTGGAATGTATATATTTTTGAATATTTTTAAGCTGTGGATATTTGACTCAGTGGATAAAGAATCTGTGGATATGAAGGGCCCACTGTATATAGTGAGCTAACTGTACCACTGCCCAAGAAAAATTACATTCACAATCTATGTATTTGACAAATGTACTTCAACTGCTCTGGGGAGGTGTTGATGGGTAAGGGTATTGTGAATCACCAGCACTCTTTAGTCTTTTCTGCCAAATCTCATTCTTGGAATATGTAGTTTTGTAGTGATTTGACAATGGGTTCAAGATTTCAAATTCATCCTGGATTTTTCCGCAGTCACATTAGGCACAACCATTACCATGCAGACACCATGGTCCCATGTGCTTACTGAATTTATACAATAGAGAAATGGACCTCTCAAATCATCTCTTGAGGCTGCTTGATTGGCTTCAGGTCCTCAGCTGCCAGGACTCTACACTGGAAGGATGCAAGAGAAAGGACTCCCAAAATTTTAATTAGTGCACCCCAAGCTGTTGCCTTTGGTGTATGTAGCCAATAGGACTGACAGCCAGCCACAAGACAATTGGCCTGGCTGTATTCTTTTGCTTGCATGTCAGTTGCCAGAAAAGTAAAGGTTTCTCTCCCACTGCCTAAACTATTTTAAAAAGATGCAGAGCCAAATAAATATGCGTGCATGTGTGTTTGTATATATGATAATGCCCATGGATGTATGAGGGGAAAAAAGAATGCAATTAAATCTAATGCATTATTGAAATGTTTTAAATAAACATTAAATATGAGGGTCTCATCTGGAGCTGTCTAAAATCATTGTCTCCACCTCAACATCCATCCTTGAGTCTGTTAGCTGGCCACTATCAGAATAATATATATTCATATTATTAATTTATATTAATAATAATATTAATTTCAAGAGATAACTATTCTTCTCAACAAGCAGGAAGATAAACCAGGAACAGTCTGTATTGAGAAATTATAGAGACATCTTCTTCTCTTTCCCCATCCTCCATTTGTAATTTTACATGGATGAATTACCTGGTTTTGATTTCAAATCCTAAGTAACCTATCTCCAGGGAAGCCAGATAGAAATGGAAATTAAACTGGGCTGAAGCTGGCAGAAGACTCACAATAGGAAAATCTGCTAAAGGCAGAGTTTGGAAAATTATGGAAGCTATAGTAAAATAATACCACCAAACTGTGAAGGGCCCAGCAACTAGTGGGTGCTGAATTAAATCTGCTCCCAACAAGGGACTCCTTACAAGTTTCCAATTAGAGGTTAAATGGTTGTTGCAGAAGATAAAGGGATAAGAGGAATTTGCATCCTCTCTCTCTCAGCAAGAACACATGGCAGGAGGTAGTGTAACTTAACCATAGTGACTGGCCAGACCAGGAGTAGTATAAGGTGCCTCCTCCTCACTCCAAGAAACCCATCACTTCCTTGAGAGTACAACCCATGAGAGTACAACTCCAATCTCTGACATCAATCATTGATTAAGGGGCCCTCTGGTAGTTGCATCACTTCTATCCAGGCATAACAATAATGACAGTCAGTGTGGTGTAGTGGTTTGAACACTGGACTATGGCTCTGGACCAGGGTTTGATTCCTGCTCAGACATAGAAACCCATTGGTTGACCTTGGGCAAATCATATACTCTCAGTCCCAGAAAACCCCATGATAGGTTCTCCTTTAGGTCATCATAACTGTTGTGTTGAAGGCATACAACAACAAGCAAGCAAGCAAGCAAGCGAATATCAGACTGAGCTCAGCTGGTTTACAACCCCCCACTTGTTCTGGCACTTGCAAACTAATCTTTGCCTCCTCCCTCCCCTTGTATGTCTTGCCTTTTTAGTTTGTACGTCTAAGGGCATGGATTGTCTCTCACTTTAAAAATTCATATATGATTCTCAGAAAGACGATGTTTATCTGAAAGACAAGACATTAATAAGTAACAGGACTTGGTAGTGCCCTTCCCTAGTTGACTTGCTTGTGAAGAGAACAGGCTGGAAGGTAAAAGGCTCTCAGAATAGACTGGTTTTTAACAAGACAGATGCCAGGGCTCACAGTGTCTTGGAATTTTAGGGCTCGTTCCCACTTATGTTTAAACTGGTTTGCCTTTGTTCCGTGTCAGTGAATTGATTCCAAAAGGTCCATAATTCCCACCATAAAAGCAGATCTTTTCATTATTCCCTCATAATTACTTTTTTTTTTTTGGCAAGATTGTCGTTCCCACTAGTTTGCGCTGCTTCAAAATGCATGTCAATCATCTGCGCATCATCAGTGATGCAAGTGGCAACATGGTGAGGATGGGGCTGTTCCGGATGCTGAGTGGGATGACTCTAGCAACTGAACCTTCCTCTGCTGCTCAGCAACCCAGGCTGCTCAAGCACACTATTTCCCCTTTAAGCATCCTGGCTTGGGAACTATATATTTTTTTAAAAAATTGACAGGATATGCAATCCAATGGTTTTGCAACTACTTGCCTCATGAGCTGCAGTCTGCCTGTAATTGCAAGTAGTTGCAAATACGATGGATTGCATATTCTGTCAATTTTCTCTACAAATATATATATTATGTGCCCATTGGTCACACCATAAGCACAAAGGCAGCACTGAGAGAGGGGAAATGGCTGATTTCCCAAAAACTGAGGAGGGATGGTAAACACACCTCTGCCATTAGTCTCTCCCCTCCAGAATAATGTGATTCAGATCCATAATTCCTACTTGTTGAAAACACTTTGGAATTGATTCTTTTCAAAATAACTGCCAAAAATCTAATGTCAGGAAACAGCTTTTTTTTGTTTTGCGTTTTCCTTGCTTCATCACGATTGGAACTGATCTCAATAGGATCAGAACCGGTTTCATAGTGGGAATGATGGTCATATAACCCAATCAGCAATTTGCTTTAAATCATAGTGGGAACAAGGACTTAATTGTTTTATCTAGAAACCCAGTTTCCCGTTCCCTGAGATGTGAGAAGGGAAATGCATTTTGCATCTGCTTGGATGTAGGCTTCTTTAGGTGGGCAGAAGTGGACATGCTGCTGGTGAAAAAGATCTGCTAACAGTTTTGTGTCATGGGGCCAACACAATCAGAGTCTGTTTTGTAAATTCCTGATTTAAGAGAATAACCTCAAGAAGGAAATTAACTTGCCTTTAGTTAAGATACTTTTGGGCTTTAACCAATATTGCATATTGAAATACATTTAAAAACACAGCAAGCCCCTTTGCCAAAGTTACCTTAGAACGACAGCTCTCAAACTTTTTACCTTGAAAGAAAGGAACCTTGAAAGTGTTGTACACATGCTGGTAACCTCTTGTCTGGATTTCTGTAATGTGCTCTACATGGGGCTACCCTCGTGCTTGGTTCGGAAACTTCAATTAGTGCAAAATATGGCAGCCAGGTTGGTCTCTGGTACATCTAAAAGAGACCATATAATACCTGTACCGAAGTCTCTTCACTGGCTACCTATTAGTTTCCGGGCCCAGTACAAGGTGTTAGTTATCACCTATAAAGCCCTAAATGGCTTGGGTCCAACCTACCTTTGAGACCGCCTCCTCCTGTACAATCTGCCCCGCGCACTTCGATCCTCTGGGATGAATTTGCTACAGGTGAAAAAAATTTAGACTGTCAGCTACTCCCCAGAGGACCTTCTCGATGACTGCTCCCAGACTATGGAATGGCCTGCTGGACGAGATCCATCATATGTTGACCTTAGATGGCTTCAAAAGGGCTGTCAAGACAGATCTCTTCTGGCAGGCCTTTCCAG